GCCGAGGGTGTGGAAACTGAAACAACTACGGAAACGGATCGGCGCTCCGGAAATCCAGGGGATAGATAATGAGGGGATCACAAATTTGGGCTGACCGTTTCCCTAGATTACGAAACGTCGTGGGATGGGTACGAAGAGTTTACATTAACCAGAAATCAACCCACCAAGGCTTCTTTGGATTGAAGGGAGTCCGGGTCCCCATAAGGCCGAAGGTTGCCATGACCCAAATCACATCGGCCTGTTAATTAAAATTATACCAGAAGAAGAGGGAAAGCCGCCCGCTTAACAGACGCCTAGTCAGTTTCTCGGTGATTGGGAACTGCGAGAAAGAAGCCTGTGGCTCTCCCAGCAGGCGTTTAGTGAAGCAAACAAGGGAAAGGTGTCCACACATTTTAACCCTTACAAACACTAGGACAACTTTGCGAGCATGGAGAGAAGACTCAGGTGGTGATATCACAAGACTTCTTCTAGCCGCAATAGCTGATCCTCTTGCTCGACAAGGCGCTAGAATGAGCGACACAGTCACCCTATGCACAAGAATTCTTCTAACCACTCAAGATCTTCACAGCAGAAGGGTGGACCATGGAGGGTCCGGCGAGGTCAGAGCTCAAGAGGGCAGGAAAAAGAGGAACATTGCTGAATCGTTGAGTTGCTCTCGCCGGGATCAGAAAGGCATTTTATAACCGGACTGGAAGGATGAATCCAAGTGCCCGTGAAACAACGATGCTCTCGTTAAAGTTATGAAGCATGGGTTCATGAGTTGACATAGATGGCAACAAATAGTAGACCCTAGACCGAGATTCTCTTCCCATGACTGCAGGCCCGTCACGAATGAAGACATGATAATTTTGGAATAAAATTACTTTTATCCCAAAATTGGGGGCATGTGTTTACACAGAAATTTGGAAGAAGGGTCTCAGGGGCTCGAGAGCTCCCAAAATCATGTCAGCAGGAGATCAATTGCGTGCAGATCGGGAATAGCTGATTCGTATGCGAGAGCTGGAATCGGCTTTCTTCAAATAACGCCAGCAGATAATGACAGAGGCTACGTTCGGCGCCTGGACGAGACATGTTGGACTCTACGAAAAAGGGAAAGATTAGAGTCCAAGTTATCTTAAATTAGGAATGTTCTCTTTAGAGTCAAAATTTGTGATGAGTCGTGCTTAGATAGGAGTCGTACGCAAGTCCTGGGTATAAATATCAAACCTCGGCTATTGTAAAAAAACACAATCAATCAAATACAAGTCAATTTACTTTTTTCGGCTCCGGCCACCCCTTAGGAGTAGGAGTAGAGTAGATCTCGGCGAGTTCTTCAGTGAGTACGGCTGCATCGATCTGGTTGACCTCCACTGCTTGTCTATAAGTATCGTCATGGTTTATACCTCTGTTCGTATGGCTGCATTGATCCGGTCGACCCCCACTGTGACTCTGGTATAGGCTAGTTATCGACTCTTGTCTAATTCAAGTATGGCCTGTGTGATTCTGCCTCACACCCCACTGCTTGAATTAGATTAAGGTCAAGTTATCGGCTCTACCTTTGAATGACAGTCCTTGGTAGATTCATTAAGTTACTGATATTGCTTATTGCTTTCATTGTTTATCTAATTACAGCAATATTACTCTGGCCGATTGAGATTGATCTGGACCGGCCTTATATCTTATTTAACCCATCGTTTGCCAATCTAAAACTGATCTAATCTACGTCTTAAAACGATGAGTTATATTTTTATTGGTTGTTTTATATCAATCTTAATCGTGCATAGCGTGCGGTTAAGGCATGTTCAATCTTGAGTAGATCTATGGGTTGGCGAGAACCGCTCCATGGCCCGTTATCACGGCCTGTGGGATTCTTCCTCTCACCCCACTATTAGCACCATGGAGTGGGGATCGTTAGTCGATAGATCCGTTCCTGAGAAGGCATGACCTTAACTGTGCGCTATGCCTGAATCGGCTGTTTAGCCAATATCAAGCGCTTTCACGAATAGTTCACATCACAAGATCATTGAAGTAGAGATAAGTCGAAAGATATGTTAGCCCCATGATCTTATTATTGTATTATGGCCTGCATGATTCTGTCTCATGCCCCACTGATATTAGTAATGAGTTAGGGTCGTCGAGTCTATTGTTGTTTCTATTGCCTGCATATTTCTGCCTCATGCCCCACTGGTCATGGTGATAGATAAGATCTAATATGTTCATTAGATTTATCTTTATTAAATGATTAAGTTGTGTTGAATCGTTTCTTTATATAAAAAGGGTTCGGTTACTTGTAATCATTGGCTCAGTTTAAACCAATCATCATCGATATCTTATTGCCATTGATTTAATTATTGCTCGAATTATATCTATCTTGGATGATAACCGATTCTTCTTACACAACCCCATGAGCTTTAACCAATTTATTCTTATGAATATGCCAGAATCGACTATTTAGTCGATCTCCTCTCATATCGGCTCTCAGAGCCGCATATTCGGGACTGTCTGGCAACACCGGCATGTTCCGCCCTTAATTACTGATAAACTTTCTCTCCTTGTCAATTGTAGGGTCAAATTGACTGGCACGTCTCGGGAGGATTGCGCAGGATCGATCACGCTTGTGCTGAAGCTAGGCGGATCTGCTCCATCGAGCGGACCCTTCCGGCTTGATGTGTGTGTCCTCGGCACGGGATGACATTCTGTGTCGACACACGGCTACGGCAACAACAACGCTTCTGGCTTCGGCGGTGGCCGGGGCTATCAAAGAGGCTTCGATGCGTACGAGGCTACATCAATGGGCTCTGGCCATGCTGGTACTAGCAACGTTGTTGGGCACCGGGCTGCTGAAAAGGTCCTAATGGCAAGAGGAAGGTGAATAGCCTATTAAAAATTTCTACAACAACACTTAGCAAACCGGTTAGACAAATATGAGGCGAAGTGAGTGTTGCGCTAGCCTACTAAAAATGCAAGCCACCTACCATAATTCTAGTTTCTATAGTCTCTATCCACACAATGGTTATGTCACTACACTAAGGTAGTATGCTCCTAAATGCTAACTAAAGAGCCACACTAACCAAACTAATCAAGCTCTCACGACTAGCTACACTAAAGAGCTTGACAACTAGTTTGCGGTATTGTAAAGAGAGAGAGCTAGATGGTTATACCGTCGAGTTGAGAAATGAACCAATCAATCACAAGAATGAATATCAATGAATACCAATCACCTCGGAATCAAATGTTGACACAATAATTTTTTACCGAGGTTCACTTGCTTGTCGGCAAGCTAATCCTCGTTGTGGCGATTCACTTACTTGGAGGTTCACGCGCTAATTGGCATCACACACCAAAACCTCAATAGGGTGCCGCACAACCAACACAAGATGAGGATCACACAAGCCACAAGCAATTTACTAGAGTACCTTTTGGCTCTCAATCGGGAAAAGGTCAAGAACCCCTCACAATCACCATGATCAGAGCCGGAGACAATCACTAATCTCCACTCGATGATCCTCGCTGCTCCAAGCCATCTAGCTGGCGGCAACCACTAAGATTAACAAGCGAATCCCGCAGCAAAACACGAATACCAAGTGCCTCTAGATGCAAACACTCAAGCAATGCACTTGGATTCTCTCCCAATCTCACAAAGATGATGAATCAATGATGGAGATGAGTAGGAGGGCTTTGGCTAAGCTCACAAGGCTGCTATGTCAATGCAAATGGCCAAGAGAGTGAGCTAGAGCCGACAATGGGGCTTAAATAGAGAGCCCTCACGAAGAGTCGTTGGCTCTTTGTTCACTAAAAAATTGGGGCGACCGGATGCACCGGTCGGAGTACTGCATCTGGTCCTTAGATTTTCGCCATGTGTCCCCTGATTCAAATGCTAATCGCCTGATCTCAACGGTCATCAGTGCACTTAAGTTGTGACCAGACGCACCTCTGCGCCAAGACCGGACGCGCCACCTCCTGAGTCCGGTCGTTTACAGAGAGCTCCCCGAGCCCCTATAGAGCGACTAGACACGTCCGCTCCAGCACGACCAGACACAAATCAGCCAGAGTCCAGTCATTTCCAGAGAGGTTCCAGAGCCGTTTTTTCGCTACCGGACGCGTCCGGTGGCCCATGACCGGACTCAGGCTAGCGTCCAGTCAACACAGTCTGTCTCTGTTGCTTGCGTTAGCGTACGTCACTAGGTGATCGGACGCACCCACTATGCATCTGGTCCCTCTCTCTCTTCAGCGTTCGATCAAGGGACCAAGGGCGGCCTTCACTGCGCGCCTACTAACCGAACATGGGGTTAGAGTCCGATCACTGCCCAAGGTAGAGTCTGGTCAATAAAACCGAGACCGAGCTACTGACCGAACACTGCTCTCCCGAGTCCGGTCAACACGTGACTAGCGTCCGGTCACTGTTTCTTAGTGACTATCTCCTCCTTCATTTCACAAACTTCTCCAACCTTGCTCAAATGTGCCAACCACCAAGTGTATCACCTTGTGCACGTGTGTTAGCATATTTTCATAAATGTTTTCAAGGATGTTAGCACTCCACTAGATCCTAAATGCATATGCAATGAGTTAGAGCATCTAGTGGTACTTTGATAACCGTATTTTGATACGAGTTTCACCCCTCTTAACAGTACGGCTATTGATTCTAAATGTGATCACACTCTCTAAGTGTCTCGATCACCAAACTGAAAAGCTCCTATCAATTTCACCTTTGCCTTGAGCTTTTTTTCTCTTTCTTCTTTTCCAAGTCTAAGCACTTGATCATTACCATGGCATCACCATTGCATCACCATTATCATGTCATGATCTTCATTTGCTTCACGACTTGGAGTAGTGCTACCTATCTCATAATCACTTTGATAAACTAGGTTAGCACTAAGGGTTTCATCAATTCACCAAAACTAAACTAGATCTTTCAGTTGCACCAACCCAACCCCGGCAAGTTCAACATGAGGCGACGGCCAAGGCTAATTTGCTCCTAGGTACTAGCACAGGGGTTACAGGTTCTGGTATTATTCAAGCAGGGGAAAATGTAGGAGACGGGGTATTTGAAAATGCAGATGTTGCAGCTATGCAAATTGACAATGAATCAGGTGCTATTGCTCCAAAGAAAGGGAGTGGAAAGAATAAACCCTTTTGCTTTCATTGCCTAACTAAAGGGCATGTAATGAATGACTGCAAAACACCAATCTGATGTGACATGTGTGATAGTGATACCCACATCACCAAAGCTTGCCCTTCCATGAAGGGTGCAAAACCTACAACAGAGCTATGTGGTTATGCAGTTCTAGGTTTGGGTTTTTATTATATCCCTTTTTTAGGTAACCAAAAGGCAAAAATTGAGCCTATAGAAGCAATAGTGAAGGTCTCTGATGGTTCTCTTACTATGCAACAAGTCACAGTAGAGCTTGAGAGACTCGTACCAGGCTGGAAATGGGTTGTGGAAGAAATTAATGAAAACTCCTTTGCCGCAACTTTTCCATCTAGTGTTGAGTTAAAACGGATGGATGATTGGGGTCCTGTGGAAGCAAGGAGTGCAAAAAAAATTTTGACTATTTCAAAGAAAAAAGATGCAAAGGTGTACAAGTATGAAATTCCTAAAGTTTGAGTACAGTTTCGTGGTCTCCCGAGCGACTTACGGAATTTTCATATCATCTGGGTTGTGGGCAAAGTTCCGCTAGGCGCTCGCCTAGGCGCGATTAAGCGCTAATCGACGGCCCTCCGCATAGACTAGGGTGTAGTCGCAGTCCTTGGCAGGAGCAGCGACTAGGCGGCGCAAATCGGTGCCTCGGCGGCGATTCCACGGCGCGCAGGCGCGCAAGGCGGCGCGTAGGCGGACGACCCGCTCAACGGCGAAATTTTTGTTTGCCGCGGAAGCGCGCGCGCGCTTATGGCGTCTGGCGCGGGAAAGGATGCACGCGGGAAGGAGAAGAGGGAAAAGGTCCGCTCCCGCTCGATTCTTGCCTTCCAGGTCATAGATAGCCACTCGGCCACTCCCGCTCGTCCTCTCCTCCTGCTACGGCACGCCGGAGGGAAGCTCCACCTGTCGGCCCCGCCGGTCACCCTGCTCCCCGCGACCCCGCCTGGAGGCTTGTCCCGGCCGGCCTCCTCTGCCCCGCCTAGAAGCTGCTGCCCCGCCTCCTCTGCCCCGCCTGGAAGCTGCTGCCCCACCTCCTCTGCCCCGCTTGGAGGCTTGTCCCGGCCGACCTCCTCTGCCCCGCCTAGAAGCTGCTGCCCCGCCTCCTCTTCCCCGCCTGGAACCTGCAGCACCAAGGTCAGGCCCCTCCCCTGCTCCTCTCCTCCATGTCCTCTGTTTTGAATGCATCCCCTGCTTCTCTCCTCTGATTTGAATGACTGTGATTAGAACAGCCATCCAGCACTGGCAAATTGTGATCATGCCTATATCTAGGTACATGAAGCAAAGTTTTTATGTACAGATCACAGGTTCCTAATGACACTACTAGACATTTGTTGATTTTTTTCTCCATAGCAAGTGATGCACTGAATAAGTGATGAACCATTCCTAGACATGAAGAATGCAGAGTCTAGAACTCAAAATTATCACAACAAAATGTAGCAAGCAGTTAGTAACTAGCTAGGGAAGAGATGTTCTAATCTCATTGTAAATTGGATGTTCCAAGCTCCACTGCTTGATCACCAATGAGTTGATCTGATTTTGCCTGCTGTGAATGCCCATTGTCTAAATGTAGGATGTCTACAACAGAGGGTGCACTAGGTGAGGGAGAAAATAGTGAGTCAGCGAATCTCCTGAAAAGGAATTCGGATGATGTTGGATGGGAGTATGGTGTTCTTGTTGATCCTAACAACAAGGACAAGGTGAAGTGCAAGCTTTGTAAGAAGGAGATGAGGGGAGGGATTTATAGGTTGAAGCAGCATTTGGCTCATGAGGGAAAGAATGTGAAGAAATGCACGGCTACAACAGTGCAGGCCATGGAGGCTAAACAGAAGTGCAAGAAAGCACTAGATGAGGCAAAAAGGAAGAGGGAGGAGAAGACTATTCGTGAGCTAGAACTTAGAGAGGAAGTTAATGTATCTAGGGTTGGAGAGTCAGATGAAGTCACTTGTGTTGGAAGTTCAGAGCCTCACAAATTAGGACCCATGGACAAATGGACACGTGCTATTGATCCTAAAGCTACCAAGACTGATTCTTTGAAGCAACAGCAGCTGAACAAGGAACTTTGGAAAGAAAGAACACATGAGGTGCATAAGTATATTGCAAGATGGGCCTATACACATGGTAAATTGCTAGTATACTCTTCTGTACTTACATTACATGATCACTAATTCATTAGATGTTATTCCTGATCACTAATTAGGCTTTTTTTAACATTGGCAGCAATACCTTTCAATGCATGTGACAATGATGAGTTTAAGCAAATGTGTGAAGCAATTGGTCAGTTTGGTCTAGGACTTGTACCTCCATGTCAAGATTCACTTCGAGAGAGATTGTTGGAAGAAGAATATGAAAGAACCAAGAGTCTGCTGCAGGAACATGAAGCCGAGAAGATCAAAAATGGGTGCTCTATTATGACCGATGCTTGGTCAGATAGGAAGAGGAGAAGCATAATGAATCTGTGCACCAATTGTGCTGATGGAACCTCCTTCATCAGCTCTAAGGAGATGTCACATGTCTCACATACCAGTGAGGTCATCTTTGATCTTGTGGACAAAGCAATTGAAGAGATTGGTCCAGACAATGTGGTGCAAGTAGTGACTGACAATGCCTCTAACAACATGGGAGCAAAGAGGCTATTGGAAGAGAAGAGACCACACATATTTTGGACCTCTTGTGCAGCTCACACAATCAACCTTATGCTCCAAGGAATTGGCAACTTGACTCGGTTCAAGAAAGTGGTTGACCAAGCAAAGGCATTTACCATATTTGTCTATGGCCACACAAGGACATTGGAGTGCTTGAGATACTTCACAGAGGGGAAAGAAGTAGTGAGGCCAGGAGTGACTAGGTTTGCTTCAAACTTTCTCACTTTGAGTAGCATGCAAGAGAAGAAGGACCAGTTAAGGAAGATGGTGGTTCATAGTAGGTGGGACTCATTGAAGGATGTGAAATCAAAGAAAGGAAAAGAGGCAACAACAACTATATTGAGTCCAAGCTTTTGGAAGGATGTCAAGCTAACATTGACTGTTTTTGAGCCATTGGTCAAAGTCCTCCGTTTGGTTGATGGGGATGTGAGGCCATCCATGGGTTTCCTTTATGGACAACTACTAAAGGCAAAGAGACAGATCAAAGAGGCCTTTAGAAATGTTGAGGCTCGGTTCAAGGATGTAATAGCTGTTATTGATAAGAAGATGAATGGAAGACTTGATTCTCCATTGCATTTGACAGCCTATTTGCTGAATCCTCACTATAGCTATAGTGACCCATCAATCTTTGATCAGCCCAAAATATCAGAAGGGTTTATATCTTGTGTTGAGAAATTTTTTTATCATGATGAGGACATGCAACATATGGCTACCAACATTGAACTAAATAAGTTTCAGAATAGAGAAGGACCCTTTAGCAAGAAGCTTGCTAGGAATTTTGAAAACTTTGATTACAACCCAGGTAGAGGTACTTCCTACGGCTCATGGCTGTTTGTTGTTTGCTGTTTTCTAAACTAATAGAGGTGTTTTTTTATTTTAGCATCATGGTGGAGACTGTATGGATATGAAACACCAGCTTTACAGAAGATGGCTACAAGGATCCTATCTTTGACATCAAGCTCTTCTGGTTGTGAAAGAAATTGGAGTGGGTTTGAAGGGGTTAGTACCTAACTACCTATCTATTATGAACATGTTTCAGAGCTTTAGTGACATTACAATTTAATTGTAGAGGTGAGAATGCTCTTTTTAAATTGTAGATACACACTAAGAAGAGGAATAGGCTTACTACAACCCGCCTCAACAAGCTGGTGTATATCCAATTCAACTCCAAGCTGCTTAGTAAGAGAGAAAAGATCAAGTCAAACAAAATCACTGAGATACTTCAGTCTAGTGATACAACTGAAGCTCTATGAAGGAAAACGCCTAGGAGCGCCTAGGACCGAGTACTCCTGACTAGGCGCTAGGCAATGGGTCAGCACCTAGATTCCGCCTAGCGCCTAGCTGAACTTTGGTTGTGGGTACTATTCTTGGTGCCACAAAGATGGTGGACATGAAATTACCAAGCGATTTGGAAGACAGAGTCGGGAGTACTCGGTCCTAGGCGCTTCTAGGCGTTTTGGCAATATAGCCATAAATTATATATATATTATGTATATAACTATATATATGTATATAACTACTATATATGACTATATGAGTCACAGTAATGAGTAAGTAGAAAAAGAGGGCAGTAGACATATCTGATTCCTAGTTGGCTTACTCTTGCTTTCTTGCATGTTCCTAGCTCCTGCCTCCTGCAACACATTTTGACAGCTAGTAGTTAGTAAATTAGTCAATAGACAGCTAGCTGGTCATCCAAAAAAAATAGAAAACACTAAGTTATGACTTATCTGGATGATTTTAGCAGCCTCCTATCCATGAGCACACCATATCAGCAGCTGGTAATTACAATACAAGTGGATAGGACAGTAATACAAGTGCACAACACAATTTATAAATAAAGGACAGCACAAGCACATAGTTCCCTCACTCACTGTAGTTCAATACAAGCTGCACAACACAATTTATAACTAAAGGACAGTACAATACAAGCTGCAGTTCATATTTCTTCGTCACTGTAGTTCACATCTTCATCGTCATACTCTTCTTCTTCAGACTTAAATTCTTCTCCTTCATAGAGCTCCCTCACTCTTGCACTTCTACGCAACTCAAGCTGTTCATCTGCTCCCACTGCCTCTCCAATGACAGACCAAGGTATCCCGGTACCTTCCATCTCATCTTCCTCCTCATCTCTAAAGTTAGCTAATGCACAATCATCCCCACCCTCTTAGAGAAAACCTTGAGCTTCAGTTGTATCACTAGACTGAAGTATCTCAGTGATTTTGTTTGACTTGATCTTTTCTCTCTTACTAAGCAGCTTGGAGTTGAATTGGATATACACCAGCTTGTTGAGGCGGGTTGTAGTAAGCCTATTCCTCTTCTTAGTGTGTATCTACAATTTAAAAAGAGCATTCTCAGTTCTACAATTAAATTGTAATGCTGCTGAAAGCCTGAAACATGTTCATAATAGATAGGTAGTTAGGTACTAACCCCTTCAAACCCACTCCAATTTCTTTCACAACCAGAAGAGCTTGATGTCAAAGATAGGATCCTTGTAGCCATCTTCTGTAAAGCTGGTGTTTCATATCCATACAGTCTCCACCATGATGCTAAAATAAAAAAAACACCTCTATTAGTTTAGAAAACAGCAAACAACAAACAGCCATGAGCCATAGGAAGTACCTCTACCTGGGTTGTAATCAAAGTTTTCAAAATTCCTAGCAAGCTTCTTGCTAAAGGGTCCTTCTCTATTCTGAAACTTATTTAGTTCAATGTTGGTAGCCATATGCTGCATGTCCTCATCATGATAAAAAAATTTCTCAACACAAGATATAAACCCTTCTGATATTTTGGGCTGATCAAAGATTGATGGGTCACTATAGCTATAGTGAGGATTCAGCAAATAGGCTGTCAAATGCAATGGAGAATCAAGTCTTCCATTCATCTTCTTATCAATAACAGCTATTACATCCTTGAACCGAGCCTCAACATTTCTAAAGGCCTCTTTGATCTGTCTCTTTGCCTTTAGTAGTTGTCCATAAAGGAAACCCATGGATGGCCTCACATCCCCATCAACCAAACAGAGGACTTTGACCAATGGCTCAAAAACAGTCAATGTTAGCTTGACATCCTTCCAAAAGCTTGGACTCAATATAGTTGCTGTTGCCTCTTTTCCTTTCTTTGATTTCACATCCTTCAATGAGTCCCACCTACTATGAACCACCATCTTCCTTAACTGGTCCTTCTTCTCTTACATGCTACTCAAAGTGAGAAAGTTTGAAGCAAACCTAGTCACTCCTGGCCTCACTACTTCTTTCCCCTCTGTGAAGTATCTCAAGCACTCCAATGTCCTTGTGTGGCCATAGACAAATATGGTAAATGCCTTTGCTTGGTCAACCACTTTCTTGAACCAAGTCAAGTTGCCAATTCCTTGGAGCATAAGGTTGATTGTGTGAGCTGCACAAGAGGTCCAAAATATGTGTGGTCTCTTCTCTTCCAATAGCCTCTTTGCTCCCATGTTGTTAGAGGCATTGTCAGTCACTACTTGCACCACATTGTCTGGACCAATCTCTTCAATTGCTTTGTCCACAAGATCAAAGATGACCTCACTGGTATGTGAGACATGTGACATCTCCTTAGAGCTGATGAAGGAGGTTCCATCAGCACAATTGGTGCACAGATTCATTATGCTTCTCCTCTTCCTATCTGACCAAGCATCGGTCATAATAGAGCACCCATTTTTGATCTTCTCGGCTTCACGTTCCTGCAGCAGACTCTTGGTTCTTTCATATTCTTCTTCCAACAATCTCTCTCGAAGTGAATCTTGACATGGAGGTACAAGTCCTAGACCAAACTGACCAATTGCTTCACACATTTGCTTAAACTCATCATTGTCACATGCATTGAAAGGTATTGCTGCCAATGTTAAAAAAAGCCTAATTAGTGATCAGGAATAACATCTAATGAATTAGTGATCATGTAATGTAAGTACAGAAGAGTATACTAGCAATTTACCATGTGTATAGGCCCATCTTGCAATATACTTATGCACCTCATGTGTTCTTTCTTTCCAAAGTTCCTTGTTCAGCTGTTGTTGCTTCAAAGAATCAGTCTTGGTAGCTTTAGGATCAATAGCACATGTCCATTTGTCCATGGGTCCTAATTTGTGAGGCTCTGAACTTCCAACACAAGTGACTTCATCTGACTCTCCAACCCTAGATACATTAACTTCCTCTCTAAGTTCTAGCTCACAAATAGTCTTCTCCTCCCTCTTCCTTTTTGCCTCATCTAGTGCTTTCTTGCACTTCTGTTTAGCCTCCATGGCCTGCACTGTTGTAGCCGTGCATTTCTTCACATTCTTTCCCTCATGAGCCAAATGCTGCTTCAACCTATAAATCCCTCCCCTCATCTCCTTCTTACAAAGCTTGCACTTCACCTTGTCCTTGTTGTTAGGATCAACAAGAACACCATACTCCCATCCAACATCATTCGAATTCCGTTTCAGGAGATTCGCTGACTCACTATTTTCTCCCTCACCTAGTGCACCCCTCCGTTGTAGACATCCTACATTTAGACAATGGGCATTCACAAAGCAGTAAAATTAGATCAACTCATTGGTGATCAAGCGGTGGAGCTTGGAACATCCAATTTACAATGAGATTAGAACATCTCTTCCCTAGCTAGTTACTAAATCGCTTGCTACATTTTGTTGTGATAATTTTGAGTTCTAGACTCTGCATTCTTCATGTCTAGGAATGGTTCATCACTTATTCAAAGGCATCACTTGCTATGGAGAAAAAAATCAACAAATGTCTAGTAGTGTCATTAGGAACCCGTGATCTGTACATAAAAACTTTGCTTCATGTACCTAGATATAGGCATGATCACAATTTGCAATCTTTGGATGGTCGTTCTAATCACAGATCATTCAAATCAGAGGAGAGAAGGTGGGGATGCATTCAAAACAGAGGACATGGAGGAGAGGAGGGGGAGGGCTGACCTTGGTGCTGCAGGTTCCAAAGGGGAAGAGGAGGCGGGCAAAGCAGCTTGTGTGGGGCAGAGGAGGCCGGCCGGGACAAGCCTCAGGCAGGCAGAGGAGGTGGGGCAAAGCAGCCTTTCAAAGGGGCAGAGGAGGCGGGCAAAGCAGCTTCTAGGCGGGGTAGAGGAGGCCGGTCGGGACAAGCCTCCAAAGGGTCATGGGAGCAGAGGCGATCGGCGAGGCCGGGCTGGTGGAGCTTCCCTCCGAGGCCAGAAAGAGAGGAGGAGAGGACGAGCGGGAGTGGCCGAGCGGCTATTCACGACTGGAAGGCAAGAATCGAGCGGAGCGGACCTTTTCCCTCTTCTCCTTCCCGCGCATCCTTTCCTCAAGGCCAGACGCCATATAAGCGCTGCAAGGCTTCCACGGCGGGCAAAAATTTCACCGTTGAGCGGGTCATCCGCCTACGCGCCGCCTTGCGCGCCTGCGCGCCACGGAATCGCCGTCGAGGCACCGATTTGCGCCGCCTAGTCGCTGCTCCTGCCTAGGACTACGACTACACCCTAGTCTACGCGGAGGGCCATCGATTAGCGCTTAATCGCGCCTAGGCGCGCCTAGGCGAGCGCCTAGCGGAACTTTGACTGTACTCCAAGAATGCCTACAATAAATGTGTTCAAGAAATTAGATCTTTCATTGTCTTAGAATCTTTATTGTATTGAAACAATCAAATGGATGATCATTTACCTGCTGCACAACTGGAATTAGATCTTTCATTGTCTTTGCATTTTTCTTGTATTGAATAGCTTGAATAGCTCGGAAAAAACCCAAATCTAGGATGTTAAAATCTGGAGAATTGGGTGGTTAACATATGAGCCGAATGTCAAACCCATCTTGCTTAGCAATCTCACAAAATTGAGGATCATCCACTTTTAAATGAGAAGGAGCATTGTCTTGTTGTATGAAAATAGGCTTGTGCACATCTTCTCTTGGCCACTTGGCTCTAATTGCAGGCAAAACTTTATTTATCATGAATTCTCTGATCACCTCCCTTGTGATTGATTGAATTGGCTTGATTACTTCCTCTCCACGAAGGCGATTGTGACTTCCTCTAATAGCTTGTTCAAAAGTGACTAGTGGAAAGCAATCTATTTTGCCATCAAACACACATTCTCCATTTCTAAATCTTGGTCGAGCACATACACACAAGAACATGATCCTAGGGATGTAGTTCTTATTTTTGCAAGTTCGATGTGGCTCATCTTCCTTGGGTAGCAAGTAGTACCTCTCTAATTTTTTATGGAGGTAGAACCACTTCTCATCAATAAACACAAAGTCAAACAAATCCTTGAACTTTGGATCATCAAGCAAACCTTGGTCAATCATGTCAATGCACCACTTCAACCTAGTCTTCTTGTTAACATTAGTGAGATAAGGTTTGATACTACTAGAGTGGCGCCTAATCAAACCCTTTTTCAAATACCTTTGAATCCTAGATTTGCTAATACCAAGTCTACTAGACACATATTCTATTGTCATTCTTTGTTGGAGAGGAATGTTGCACAATTGTTCCAAATCAAGAGGGATTGGTTTACGTCCACTTCTACCTTTCTTTAGATTAGGAACCATGACTGGAATGTTGTCAGCAAGCTGGTTTTTACCTTGCTTCCATATGCGTTGCACTGATCGAATCTTTACTCCAAATTGAGCACCAACAATTGTTGTATCATGCTTGCCTAGTTTGCCATTTTTGCTTCTCATCAACAATGCTTGGTACACTTGTTGTCTAACATGATCAGAATAGTCATGCTTCGGTTGGTTTACTTGATCGGCATGTTGTTCTAGCAAAAGGAAAAAACAACCATTTTAATAGTACTCACGGCATGTTCACGGCATGATCTATTTATAGGGAAAAAAACAAAGACACTAATATAATAGATGTTCACTGCATGTTCTATTTATAGGGAAAAAAACAAGCATGTTCATGGTAGTAATAGTAGTCACGGCATGATCAAAATATAGGACTACAACAAGCATTTTAATGGTACTCAAGGAGTGAAATAAATATAGGAATATGTACATACTCAAAAAAATAGCATGATGTAAATATAGGTATGCTTACCATGGGGGTTATGTAAATAATCAAAATCTACAGCTCCAAATTCATCTAGTGGAAAGTTCAAATCAATTCCTGTCCAAAAATAAAAGAGCATGCTGAGAATGGAACCTAATATGCATGTCATGCTCCACCGGATACAATGAAACAATTCATGTCCAAAAAGAAAAGAACATACCGTTGCCATGCTCCAACGGAGGCTCATTCAGATCAAAAAAAGCGTCGCCGTCATCATCTTCATGCTCTGCGAGATGAAACTCGGTGTTGCCATCGCCATCTTCATGCTCTGCAACATGAAACCGTTGATGTCGTTGAGATCCCACGGTAGGTTGCCATCGCGCACACAGAAACAACAAAACAAAATGGAACTAATAATAGATGGTTACCGCTGCCGTCGTTGAGATCCCACGGCAGGTTGCCGTCCTCTTCTTCTTCTACACGAACGTTGAGATCAAAGCCAGAGAAGTAATCAGCCATTATGCCGTAGTAGTAGATGTGTAAGGAGAACAGCTAGTCCATGGCGGCGTAGTAGCACCAAGCAAGGCAAGGAAGGCAAGGGAGTAAATGGCGTTGGAGAAGAGAGAAAGCAAGTTGCCACATAAATAAGCCAGTGGCGTGGAGTACAGGCAGCTCAAACGTCGGTCTTCTCATTCGAAACGAGCGCGTACCATCAGCCATCCGAGCGCGCAGATGAAATAAGAAAAATCAAACAACCTAAAAGCTGCGCATGCTTAAAAATACAGCCCCCAAGCGACTCCAGCTTCCATCCGCAGCGAAAAAAAGGACGCCACACGCCGGTGGAACAAATGGCATGCACGCCCATGCAAAATGAAGGGGCAACAAAAAAAAAATGTGGCTGCCAGGTTCGAACCCGAGTCGCAGCACTCATGCCTCCACGCACTAGCCAGTTGGACTGAGTTACTTTCTCGTAAAGATAGCACCCACAACCATATTTATTAGGGGCAAAGATAGAAAACTAACCCCTAATTAATCAACCTTGGTTACCGCAATCATGTCCTAAACGTCAGGTTTTTTTTGATATGGAGGGAGTATATGTTTTTTTTTTCCTCTTTTGAGCTCAGAACCCGGAGGACTTTACTTTTTTTAGGCTACCTGGAGCAATAGGAAACGGGTTTGTTTCCGTTTGCGGAGGGCAAAGTACGAAACTGTTTGCACGCACCCACCTCACGGCGCGTGCGCGGCCGTTGCCCTCCCGCGCTCGAGGGCTCGCCCCTCCGCTAGGACACGCGTCGCGCGCGCTCCAGGAGCTGCCGCGCCCGGCGGCATCACGTGGCTTGGGGCTGGGGACCAAGCGCGAGGTGGCGGCTGCCGACTGGCGGTAACTTTGTTTGTGTTTGCTCGATTACGATGGCACAGACGTATACTACTGAATTACTGATGCACTCTACCTTTACTCTACCAATAAACCGCTCCAGAAAAAAAAAAAAACCCCTCTAATACCGGTAGAAACTTGACGTGAACGTGATCGGCCTCTCTATTGCAAATAGGCCCAGATGAAACTTGGCTTCAACTGATGGACTGCCCCTTCGGCGGCCTTTCCAGTTTTCGCCCATTCCAACAAGCTGGGCTTCATCAAGTCCCCGAAAAGATATTGGTCCGGGCCTTTCTTAGGCATATTTATCCGCATCATCTTTGTCTTCTTAATAAAAAAATAAAAAAGAAGAATCACTGAAGCCCCTCGGATAGAAGCAGCAAAATGCTAAACATCATACGAGATTTCTGCAGCGTAACTTTATTTCACAATGGTAGCTTCATGAAAATGTGCTAGAACATCGTGTAAATAAAATTTTCGTCAACATCTGATGCGACACTCAAAGTAGCTCCTTACGGACTAAAAAAACCCGACCGCTGTGCCTATTTCCGTGGCCGCAGATTGTACTTCCGGGAGACCGACGTCGTGATGGAGTTCTCGCCGATCTCCTCTGCCACGACAACTTGGTTGCGCCTTCGAATTGGAGGCGACCGCTCCGGCGGCAGGACGTATGTTGGGTCAATCTTAGTGTCCACCTCGTCTTCCAGCTCGTCGAAGACCCACGAGTAGTCCCTCAGGCTCTCCTCCTCCGAGCCGTACGACAGCGCCCTCCTGCCAGTGTTTTCCTCAAGCGCCCGGACCTTCTCGACCAGCGTCTGGAGCAGCCCGTGGTTCAACACCTCGTAGTCCCTGAAGGATGAACACAAGTTTAAATTACAGCTAAGGCCGGTCCATGAGCGTGCGTATGTGCATTGTGTGATTGTGAACGGACGTCTTGGTTTATCACCTACCTGTAGGTAAATATGGAGTGCAGGATTTGAACAGTGGCAGCGCCAAGGAACACCATTCTGACCAAGAACACCTTGGACATGACCCAGAACTGCTTGTCGAAGTCGTCGGCGCCGATTTTGATCAACCCAATCTCCAACAGAAGCGTAATGCACAGACCTGCCAATGCAAAATGTTAGCCAAATGGGCATTCATATTTAATTGATGATAAGTTTTCAATTTCTCTAGTGAAATCATACCAAAGTAGAGCTGGCCCCTGATGCTGAACGTTTGCTTTGCACTGGTGAGCATATAGATGAGGAACACAATGCAGCAATAGAAGAAGAAGGCCTTGATGAAGCGAGACTCAGCTAGAATGGCATTGTGCAGAATGTACAGCTTGTCCAGAGCAGCAAAAATGTTAGCCTGCTTTGCTCTAAACTCTTCCTGTGATATGAAAAAGTTCAGTAAATATAAGCGAACATGTAAAGTTAGTCATATTTTCAAAATGAGATATAAGAACAAACCTGTGCTTCCAGTATGGAGTGAGAATTTTGGATGAGATGCTCATGAGCCTGTCGGATTTCTTCTTGCCGGGACAGTAGCTCTTCCTGCTGACGTTGGCCGAACTGTGCAAGTTTCTTAATTGTTTCCCTGCCATTGATAACTTAGTCAATATCTTTTTTTTTCTATTAGACGTGCAGCAAGCATTTGTTGATATTCAAGAACAATACAAAATGAACGGTACATATGAATATAACAATACCTGCTTTCTTCAAGAGCTTTTGCTTGAGAGCTGTGGAGCTTATTCAGTCCATCCATGGCCCGGGTCTGTCCATTCATCAGTTGCTTTTGGTTCTCCAATGACTTTCCAGTAACACTGCCAATGTCATCAGCAGACCTCTGCAAATCCAGCATCTTTGAAGTTATTGACTCACCAACACTTTTAATTTCCCTTTGCATATATCCGGTCTCTTCTTTTATCTTATCCATCCCATTTCCTAGTCTTTCATATGATTCCTCAAAGCGCAC